ARMRAATCAACACAAGTTGTCCGAGAATTAAATTCAGACAAGAAGAAAAACAATACCGCCAAAATTGACCAAGACAAAGACTTCTAAAAAAATGGATAATGAAAACCGGTTGAAGGTATGAACAATTTAGACAATTAAAAATGAAAGAAGTCAGCCGTCAAATTTGACTACAATCTTCAACCTCAAGCTTGGATGAAACACGATTTCACACTTAAAATATAGAATGAACCAGCCACCAACTTTATTTAAAAAAATGAAAGAAACCAGCCGCCTATCTTGACCATGTGATCTATTGTCCGAGAAAATTGCACTCCGAATAGATTAGTGAACGATTAAGGCACAAATCGGATGAGTTGGTGAACGATATAGGCAGTCTGGTCAAGCTAGTGACCGATTAAACACTTAACCTACAATCACATACAAAACTAAATCGGACAGGCTGTCAAACGGATTTGGTAAAGCTCGGACAAGGCTGCTGAAATTTATATGAACACTTGCACAAAAATCCTAGCAATACAGACAATCTGGTGAACGATTAAAGAGAAATACGGATGAACTAATATGCAATTTAGATGAAGAAAACAGCAGCCAAAAATGACTTCAATATTTACAAACAGAAATTTTGAAAACTTTTCATAAAAAAAAGGATGAAATTCAAGATTTTATGAGTTTTAACCAAGAACATAGAGTTTTCCAAGAATTAGAAAAATCTCTTCAAATCTTTAAAAACGATGATCGAATCACAAAATCGAAAGAATAACACGATTCACGATGTAAAAACGCACACAATGATCATGATTTTAACAATCAAACACCCAAAAATGAAAGATTTGAGAAGAATTTTATGAAAAAAATGTGAAGAACACTCAATAACACTTTGATGAATCTTCAAGAAAAAATACGAATTTCCAGAAAAATTGTGCAACTTTGTATAATTTCTTCAATCAAATTTACTGCATCAAGCTCTGATGCTAATTGTGAGTCTCAATCTTCAAATCTTCATCAAGAACACTATAAATGGCAATCTTCAATATGATGATACTTGAGAAAAAGAGTCAAACAGTCAAAGGTCTTGTTTATTTCCTTAAAGCTCTAATTACAAGTAATGACTCAATTAAGCTCCCTAACTCTAAACACACTAAACTAAACCTATTTATAGGTCAACACAAAATACAAAAGTCAAAGTCAAATACAAGAAAGTTTTTCAAGAATGAATACAATTAAATTGTAAAATTCAATCCTAACATATATATATATATCCATATTAGTATCAAATTAACTATTTAAAAATTCTCAGTTTTTATGTATTTTTTTAATTCAATTTCTTATAATTTAATTTAGGTTTCATGTATTTGATTTATACATTTAGTTACACGACTTCAAATATGGAGCTTCAATAGGTTGTATTTATGCCCAATTACTTATCTATACTATATTATAAAGCATTTGACAAAAACTCTTAATTAACAATTTTTTATGCATAAAGTACTGTATATTGATGCATATTACTTAAAATTCAAAATTACAAGTAATTATGCATAAATACAATTTATTAAAATTCCATGTTTGAATTCGTGTAACTAACTGTGTATAAACATAATCAATTAGAGGATAAACATTTCATTTTAAAATATAAAAAAACCTAAAATATAATGAGAATAATTATCAAGTTCTAACAAAATTATTAATTATTATCTCTATAAAAAATTATATTATTAAACCAAATATAAATTACTTCGTTATTGTATATAAATTAAATTATAAAAAAAATTGATTTAAAAAATTACACAAAAAATAAGAATTTTAAATAGTTAATTTGATATTAATATCGATATATTTTTGTCAAATTTTTATGATATCTTCGTATTTATATTTAATTCAAAAATAAAAATATCATCGCTTTTTCAAAATCACACAAGACCATATTATAACATTGATTGAGATAAAGAATAAAATGAAATATTAAAATCAAGATGTATCTCACTGCATTGTGCGAGTACCTTTTTAGTAATCTTAAATTAATTTGATTAATAAACAATATTAACTACATAAAATTGGTTTTTAAGAGTTTTTGTTAAATAGTTTATGATATAGTATAGATATGTATATATAAAACACACAGTCATCGCTCCACTTTTTTAACACCACCGTCACTAACTTCCGACTACCTCCTCTCTACTCTCTCTCTCTCTCCCTATCTCCGTTCTCTTACAGTCATCTTCCCCACCCCCATCGGGAAACCCATCTCCAACATCCTCCTTTTTATCAACCTCTATTTCTTGCAAGCTCACAAATAGAAGCAACGTGAAGCACCACCTCACCTTCATCTCCGAGTAACACATCACTACCACTAGGTCCACCTCCATCTCTATTCGCGTACACAGACAAACCCATAGTTATCTCCTTCGTCCCCTTCCAACCTGCCAACTCGTCAATCTATCTTTCAACCCACCTCCCTTCCTCGACCCCAATGTGAAAGAACTTCAACCCACCCTTACCATGAAACCCATCTACGACCTTCTCCTTCATCGACCTCCCTCTCCAGTGGACTCATAATAGAAACATCGAGAATGGAAGGGGGTGAGTTAAATATCGAAAATTAAAAGGGGGAGAGGGGGTTCCGGAGTTAACAAAGAAAATGGAGGTGGAGGTCAGTGACAAAAATGGAATGATTAATTGGCGAGTTAGAAACTCCTCCATTCATCTCTATAGTTGTGTGTGTGTATTATACATATGTGGTGTGCGTGTATATATGAGTGTGTGTGTGTGTGTGTGTGAGAGAGAGAGAGAGAGATGTTGCAGCCCTGAGGGGTACCAATAGTGAGAAAGGTCGGCAGCAGGTGAATCATCGTAACGTAAGGGAGATGATGGAGGGAAGGGGTTAGGGTGGAGTATTGTGTTCTAATATATGTATTTATAATTATAACTAATAATAATTATAAAAAATATAATATATATTAGAGAGAATTACATTTTTAGTCCTTGTGTAAAGACAAATAAAATGTTAAAAGGACGCAATTACCACCTCATTTAACTGAGTTAACAGAATCTATTTGATTCCATTAGAGGAAGGGGCTTAGAACGTGCGTTTTTGCATACCGCATATATCAGGAGTGTAATAAATGCGTTTAAGGGACCTTAGTGGAACAAACCACAAACAGTAGGGACCAGGAATGTAATTTACTCTATAATTAATATTTTAGTCTCAATAATATAAAATCTAATAGAGATGATTGTAATTTCTTAGAGATTTTGAGTTTTAGCTCTCCATTTTAAAGAAATTTTGAAGAATTTGTTACAGACTCTTATAGAAATGTTTATAAGGTAACACAAGGGAACCATTATACATATGGATAGATAGGAAAATTTGGTTATAATTAGATCTTTAACCGGTTACAATTCGTCTCAGTTAAAAAAACCATCACATAACCGGTTACAGTATAAACAATCCCGGTCTCTTAACATAGTTGAAAATGCATTATTGATATTACTCGTTATAACTAGGGGTGCTCAAAAACCCGATCAACACAATCCGAAAAATTCTAAAAAACCCAACCCAAGGTAACCCGATGCATGATTGATCAAAAAGCTAGCCAACCCGACTTTATTGGGTCGAAATTGGGTCAGGCCCAAAAGAACCCGACCCAACCCGACAACCTGATTACCCAATTGATTCAATGGCGTATATATCTTGTTTTATTTCATTGTAAACCTAACTCCTAAAGTCGCACCCGCATAGAACGTGAACCTAAACTCGCGAATGCCTGAACCTGAACGGTTGAACGCACGCATATTAAAGCTTCGATACACAGACAACCTTGACTTGAGCCTTCGATTTACACAGCTAAGGTAACACAGCCTTTGATTTACAGTTTTACACCTTTATGGTTCGATTTACACAGGTAAGGTAACACAGCCTTCGATTTACAATTTTACAACTTCGATTGCTTTCCTATCACTTCGATTTGATTTGACACAATAGTATTTTTCGATTCATTAGTATTTTTCGATGTAGTAATAATTTTTCTATCATTTCGATTTACAATTTTATAGCTTTGATTCGATTTGTTTCACTTCGATTCGATTTGATTTACAATTTTACACAGTTTTACCGTTTTGAACTTACTTACAGGTTACAACCTTGATTCATAGCCTCGATTCACAGCTTTCGATTCACAGCTTTCGATTCACAAGTTTTCAATTTCTCCCTACCTATGTTACTGTTTGCACTTTTAGTTTCACTGTAAATCAGTAATGAAAATTTGTTCCATTTTACTATTTGGAACTTACTATTTTGCACTTTTAGTTTCACTGTAAATCAGTAATGAAAGGTTTTCGATTTCTTCTTAATCCTTATAATTTCAATGGATGCTAATGCTACCCAACACCAATATGTATTGATAAAGAGATCAAAGAAGAACCAAACATCGATAAAAAAAAAGGTCGAGTGGTAGAGTATCTGATGTTTGGGCTCACTTTGCAAAAGTAGATGGTGGAAATCCAAATGATCCTAGGTGTGTTTGCAACTATTGTGGAAAAATTATGCCTGTAACAGTAAGAAAATTGACACAACTAGTTTATGGACACACATAAGAAAACAATTCAAGAAATATCCGGGTAGGGAAACCGATAAAAAAACAAAAAGTACTTAGTTTTCAAGGCGATGGTGATGGTGTGGGAAATTTGTTGGTCGTGACTTTTAATAAAGAAAAATTCTGCAATGCCTTGTCTAGGTTTGTAGTGAAAGATGAACAACCTTTTAGTGTCGTTGACGGTGAAGGGTTTAAAGAGCTTCTTCAAAGCATGCAACCTAAGTTTGATGTCCCTGGTAGAATGACTATTAATAGGGATATATTCAAGTTGTTTTGTGAGGAGCGTGTTAAGTTGAAGAAAGATTTAACTAAGGGTGGACAAAGAGTATGTTTAACCACCGATTGTTGGACTTCTTGTACTCAAATGGCTTACATGTGCCTAATCGCATTATATTGATAGTGATTGGCATTTGCATAAAAAATTATAATTTTTTGTCAAATTGCAAATCACAAGGGCAAGACAATTGGTAAGGTTATAGAGACTTGTTTGCTTGGTTGGGGATTAGAAAAGGTTCTTAGTGTGAATGTTGATAATGCATCTGCCAATGATGTGGTTGTTGGTTGTGTAAAGAAAAGGATTAATGCATGGAAAGGCTCGGTTCTTGATGGTAAGTTCATCCATTTCAGATGTGGTGCTCACATACTAAATTTAATTGTAGGTGATTGGTTGAAGGAGTTGCATGATTCAATCGCTGCCATTCTTAATAGTGTAAGATACATCCGGTCATCTTTTTCAAGGTTACAAAAGTTCAATGCTTGTGTTGAAAGGGAAAAGATTACATACAAGGGTGGCTTGGTCTTAGATGTGCCTACAAGATGGAACTCAACTTTTATGATGTTAGACGTGGCATTTAAATTTGAAAAAGCTTTTGCAAGTTATGAGGACGAAGATCATAAGTACTTGAGTCATTTTCTAGAGAATGGGAATGAAAAAAAGAGAGTTTGACCACCTAAGAGTATTGATTGGAAGTGTGTTTCGGCTTTTGTTAAATTTCTCTCCATTTTTTGCGAAGTTACTTTAAAATTTAGTGCCACTTTGCATGCAACTTCTAACAACTTCTATAATGAGATCTGTGAGATCCATACACACTTGAATTCTTTGTGTGAAAGTAATGATTCTATATTGTATACCATGGTCAAGAAGATAAAGACTAAGTTTGAGAAATACTGAGGGGATCCAGATAACATCAATCTGATGTTGCTTTTGTATGTTATACTTGATACAAGGTATAAGATGAAATATTTGAAGTTTCTTTTTGAGTGCCTTTATGATAGTCAAACTGTTGCCAAGATTACTATGAAGGTGGAAGAAATCCTTAACGAGTTATTTGAAGTCTACAATGTTGAGTTTGGGGGTGGTGAATCAAATGTTAGTTATATGTGTAATTTGTTTTATTTTATTATGCATTTTAACATGTTCATGTTCGTTTGAGTTGTTTACTTGTTGTTTTTATCTTCAATATGTATAGGTTGCCAAAAATGACTCATTAAAGAGCAACGAAACTCATAAGAGGTCATTATTGGAAAATTATATGCAAAAACAACAATTGCAAGTGTCGGAGAAAATGAACGATCTTCAAAGATATTTGGTTGAAAAATCTCTCGATCCAACAACTACCGGATTTGATATTTTACTATGGTGGAAAGCAAATGCTAGTAGGTATGTTATTTTATCTATGATTGCAAAGGATGTTCTTGCCATTCTCGTGTCTACGGTTGCTTCCAAATCCACGTTTAGTACTAGCGGACATATTTTGGACTCATTTAGAAGTTCATTGAGTCCAAAAATGCTCGAGGCATGAGTGTGCACCCAAAGTTGGTTGAAAGTAAGTCATGAAGGGATTCAAACAAATGAGTGTTTGGATGAAACACAATCTTATGATTTCTTGGAAGAAGGTAATTACTAAAATTGTTCAGATTATTTTATCTATTTTCAATAAATTGTTAACTTTAGTTTTGAATTGTAGATGACAATCATAACATGATCAACCTCAAGGTCAAGAAAGTGAAAACATCGGGGTTGGAAACGTCTAAAACTATTGTTGTTGATTGATGTATTATCATTTGGTTTAAACATTTTTATTGTAATACCTAAATATTTGATGAACTTGCATATTATCTTGAATGGTCGGTCGTATTTCAAAGGAAGGTTTCCTTTATTTTTATGTGATTTTACATTGTTAAAACACAACCCGATCAACCCGAACGGATTGGGTTGGGTTGGGTTGAAAATTTTCAAACTGCCAACATTGGATTGAGTTGTTAAAATGCCTCCAAACCGATCAACCCAACTCATGAGCAACCACAGTTATAACTAGCCATTAAAGTGTCATCCATTTTAAAGAATCCATTTTATAAGGTTCAATACCATTGAGCAATGACGGAGCGTCACGTCCAACTTTTTACACAAAGTGTCAATGTGACCATACCTTTAAGAAGCCATTGAAGAACATTGTAACTTATAGATACTGAAATGGTCAAAATTTCTTTCGTGCCCACTTTTATGTGTATGTATGGATATACACTTGGATTCCGGTGAGGAGAGTTAAGGTTAAAAGCATAAGAAGGATCTTCACCTTTAAATGCACATTAGGATGAAATGCATCGAGATAAGATGCAGCAAATTTGTATCAAGCATGATTCATAGGTGGTTTTAAGATTAAAGGTGATGAAGGGTCCAGATCTCTTCTTACTGTTCTCACCTTAATTCTCTTCTCTCACGATCCTTCACGTAATACACTTATGTATGTATATATACACAAAAGCCCATCTAAACATTTTGGTTGTGCAAAGCAATAATGTTGCATATTAAGTTTCAATTTTGAAAAGCTCAGTAACATTTCCTTCTTAAAATCAAAAACCGAAATCAACTCGGACCAAACGTTCATATGGCATCTTATTCGAAATGCCCACATCCATTACAGTTCACTTCAACAAACTTATCGTTGTTCTTTCTGGTCTAATTGATGGAAAATCGATTCATAACAAAGGAGAAGAACGAGCACACGTCTTCCAACTAGGCCGGCACTGCAAACAGGATTTTAACCAAACGAAGATATGCTGAAAGCACCATGTTGATCGATCACGTCAAAACGAAATGTAAATGTTCCATCTAACCCTACAACTTCACATTAAGCACACAATCATGTTAGCCATTTATAAGAAAATAACTTGCCATGCTTGGCTTATTTACAGTATTTATAATAAAAGGAGCTCGTATTGTTACATCCGAAGATGGGGTCTAAAAGGGGCTATCAGTTGCTAATGTGAATAGTGAATACCCCTGTAAAATGACAGTAATTTTATATGCATAATAAAACCCAAGTTTTGGCATGTATTTCAATATAATCTTACGTTAATGTAACATCCAATGCAAAATTTGTTGTCGTTTTTATAAGATTTACAATTTACAATGTAGAAACTACGATAGTTTAAATCTTGCGGTCAACATATGGTACTAGATATGCTTTAGCCTGTCGATATCTCGTATTCTACTTACTGCTAACCAGTCGAGATGTGTTATGTATAGCCACCAGAAGGCAATTTCGCCCATCCCTGGAGTTGCGAAACATTAAACAATAAAGATCGTTAACAGTAGTTTGCAATGTCGATCTTCCTAAAATGAGAACTTGTTGAAAATGAACATAACCGGACTTATATGTAATTTCTGGAAAGCCGAATGCAAAATTATTATATATAAAGTGACGTGATCGCTAACAATATCATTAAATTTTCTAGATCCATAACAGCATCAAACTCTTGGGAACAACTTCCCTGTGGCAAAAGACGGAGAGGTAAGATCTACATACATCCTACCCCTCACAGGCCCTACTTTCAACGTGATATACTGGGACTGTTTGGTTTGATTTTGAAGTTTTTCGCTGCATTCTTCTGTTAGTATTCATTATCCCTCGCAAAGCACGAGTAAATAGTTGTGTGACAAGCAAGTGCAAATACCATGGTAGATAATTTTAGATCATTTTATTGCAAAAATATATGCAAGGAGAGATTTACATGAAATTACTTAATCTTGATAAGGACGAGGAACACTTGTGTAAAAGGAAGAGATTAGGGTGTGTTAAGATCAAAATCAAGATAACATTAGCTTAGCTTCTGTAGGAATAGGATACAAGCCCACATGTATTATATATGCGTATACATATAAATGAAAAGCGTTTTATATTGAAAAGAACTCCAAATGTCATAGATAGACGCACAGAGGATGAACTGCATATGCTCGTAAGTAGATCAAATACAAATCACTCAAGTCAGTTATGAATTTGGACCTTTCGGGTATTTGAATATCTTCAAACAAAACAAAAATACATCATAGAATCTTTGATTCAATAGATATCTGTTTTGACCATCCAAATCACCCTAAGCAACCAACGAGTTAGAAACTACGCCTATGTTTGACAATCTAATTGTTTAAACAGCACAAGCTAACTCTTATCCAATAAACAACTATTAAGGTAGATAACAATGTAAAATGATCGAAAATGGCAGCTGATAAATTAGTCATGTTTGGTTAAAACTAGCCAAAAAGTCGTGATAATGTAAAATGACCTAAAAAGGCAACTGATAAACTAGCCGATAAATTATATGACAATGTAAAATGACCTAAAATGACATGTTGAAAAATAAACTGGAAAAGTACAAGGGGCATAATTTTGAAGAAAAAAAAATGTCTTTGGAGCTTTTCGAAACACTACCTGAAGTAGCTTTTCAAGAAGCTAGATTATGCCCTAAAAATAAGCCGGCTAATGGTTACCAAAGATGGCCTACTAGTGTTTTAGTCTTGGATAAATTCTATCTTTTTTTGTAGGCATGCATCATATGACATCTGCTTCCACGTACACAAGATAATGAACATAAAAGCTGGGAAGAGCCCTAAGGGAAGCTAGGGGTCTCCTATAATCACTAAATCTGGATAATAAACCTTCTCAGGGTGAACTAGAAAGCCATTGCTGGATGCTTAAAAGATGGTTATGAATGAAAAACCAATCTATTTTCAAAGTAATTAGTCTTAAAACGCACATAAGAAGGCAACCGAATTTGAAAACTGAACGAAATTTGATTTTAATATGGTCCATCAACTTCGTAAATAAATCAACCAAAGCGACACCTCCAAACCTACTTTATGAAACTACATCCACAAAACGGCCGGTAATGTAAGGGGAAAAACTGACCAAACTATAAGCATAGCCTCTCGATGAACAAACCAATCAAATCTTAGCATCTTTAAATTATTTACTGTAAAAATCATATTTTTATTTCGAATAAAAGACGTGGGATCAGTATTACCTCAATGAAGAGAACCTCCTTGGTGACTTCCACCCCCTTGCCCTGATTGAGTGCCCGGCTGCTGCTGATGTATTTGGAGCAAAAGATTTGTAGCAAATTGCAGCGTTGATTGATACCGCTCATTCTTATCAGCATCAAAATCAGACGGTTGCTGAGTTGCTGCATATAGTGCCGATTGAAGTTGCTGCATCTGCTCAGGGAGCTGCAGATTGGATTTCTCAGGTGGTGTAGGCACCATACTTTGTGGCTGGTAAACATTACCACCATAAACCTGACTTAAAGCCAGATTATTTCCAGGCGGTAAAACCGAGGGCACATCTGTCTTTTGTTCAAATGCGTAGCCGGCGTGAGTGTCTTGTGCGAAGTTGGGTAGGTATTGCTGATTGTTGGCCTGCATTTGACCCACAAAATGACCACTTTGTGGAGTTTGAGATGTTGAATTCATCATAGATGGCACGGGTTCACGTTGTGGGAAACTAAAAGCAAGATCTTGAACCGGATAGTTGCCGGAAGCGGCCGAATGATGATCATTGACCATGTTTGACTGATAACCCTGATGCTGAGGTGGGATTTGTGGCTGAGGATAAAATGAATTTTCAGCTTGCGAGAAATGTCCACTTAAGTTGGATGGTTCAGGTTCGTATTCCCATCCCCTAATCGGTCTCTCATTAGGTGCTGCAGAGGTCAATACGGACCCCACGGGTGGTGTGGCTGATGGTTGCTGGTTATTAAACTTACCCTTGGCCAAAGAAGCCAGAGTTGCAATAAGTTCCGGTGTTAAAGAAAGCCCAGTTTGGGGCATAGATGTAGACATTGGTGGGGGAGTCAATGGATTACGAGATGGAGGAGCTGGCGACTTCGGGAGTGATTTTGAGTCGTCATGTGGAGCACCGGTATAATCGATTTGCAGCACCTTCTCCCCACTGGGCATAAGATTGTATTCATTTTGAGAAGGAACCTGCTGCTTATCGATATATTGAGGTTGGTTTGATAAAGGACCAGCAGATGTGCTGCCAGAGGCATGTTGTGGGAACTTCAGAACGACTCCATATAGACGCTCCGGCCCAGAAACGTTCAAAACTTTTGAAAGAAATTCAGAAGGTGGGACCAAGAATAAGGTGGTTCCATCGTCAAATTTAGCAACCCCAGCGCGGTTTCTGTCACCCAAATAACGTACGAATTCTGTATATGAAGCAAAATCTTCTTCACTATCGGGTAAGAAGAATACGATATCGAAACCAACAGCATCAATGTAGTGTTTTGCCAGCATATCCAATCCTGTTCTAGCTGAGCAATTAACAACTTCAGGGCTGCAGGTCAAAATCACAAATGTTACTAACAAGGAATACACACATACTGCTGTGATCCAATCCACTATTAAGAAATTTGTTACTCGTCAAAATGTTAATAACAAGAAATACAAACACCTCATTGATAAACCAAATCAAACTAACCCTGTATATCCTATCCAGAGGTGGGGCCTGCGGAAGGTAGGATCACTCAGACCTGACCTCTACTCCAAAGAGTAGAACATTGTTTCCATGGAGACCCGGCTTGTGCAAAGTGTGTAAAAGAAAGAAAAAGAAAAGGATTTTTTTCTGAAAGAGATCATGAGACCACACACTGCATTGATCTGGTCCATTATTAAGATATTTGTTCCCAGCCATCTGCAAACAGGTTTAGGGGTGCATAGATAAATCAAATTCTGCAGAAAGATAGTTTTCCGAATGGAAGATTGAGACTGAAGAACATGGAAAAGATACTTCAGCAAAGCCGTCCCTACGTATTCTGAGTCTAATCTTTTACAACACTGTAAAACTGTAGATGATAGATTTAGAGTTCATATTTTGATTTCAAAATTTCAGAATCAGCACTCCTACTTGTGGTGGCATATAGAAACAAGTCAACAAGTGTGGGATACAAAATTCAGTACAAGTAATTCTACTAGAATCATGTAGGAGATGAAGGAAAATCACGTACATCTCATATCCAATCCAGTCTCTGATAGGAACACAACGAGCATGACATACAGGAGTTCCTCCCTTCGCAATAACACCTCGCCAAATATAGTCAGAATTGGGATGGCCCACATCGGTACCTCGAGTTGTTAATCTTGTGTCTAACCGACCGACACCCTTAACTTGTGGAACGCTGCTGTACACAGGATCAGTGCCCAACACCTGATCTTTCATATCTCTTATGGGTATATTACCATCAGTTCTCAGTCTTTTGGGTTCCCTATGCAATTGGCTTGCATCAAAAACATCCCATGTCCCAGGAGAAGGTCTGGTGGGTGGATTTACACCTGATGAAGAAGAAGAAAGCATTCCAGGGGTTGGTGAAGATCTTCTCCAATTTGGAACACCCATTGGGTTGATGGGATTAGGGCCAGGCACATTAAACTCTGGACCTTGGTGTAGAGGATCAAAGCTATCTGGAGGAGCAAAAGGCCTAATAGAAATATCAGGTCCACCATAAGGGGGTGCACGTCCATGCAAACTATTTGGCACTAAAACAGGGTGACTGTAAACATCTAATTGTGGTGCTTGGGTTGGGAGTTCATTAAAGATTGTATGAGGCCTTGGTCCATTTACTCCAGGATGAAATCCGGTAAGATCTTTGGTTGGTGCATGCTCGCTGGATGAAAACATAATAGAAATTCTGGGATCGTTAAAAAGACGGCCTTGCAGCCCATCCTTGGCAAGTTGTGCCTCTTCCACGCTTCTAAACTCCACGAGTGAATAATGTCTTGAAGGAAAACTTCTGATATTGTCAATCTCACCGAATAAAATCATGGCATTGTGTAACATCTGTTCATCAATATGAACAACAGGAGGATAAGATATAACCAAAACATTACTTGGTTGCTCTCCATCCCCTTTTCGACCTTCTAACGGCAGATTATGCTGTAAAAAGAACACAAAGGCAGTTCAATTTTCTAAATAAAGATCACTAGGAGAAAATAAGTAAAAGGTATGATATATTTTTGTGCATTATATGGACACCACGAAACTTCTGTGCATAAACGCTTAAACAGGGAGATTTAATCCTACCCTTAGCTATGTAGAATAATGCAAAAAGGGCATAATTGGAACTAGGTTATAACCTGTTGCCTTTGGGTACCAAAGTACGAAGGATCAGAGTAATTGTTAACAGTATCTGGTGGTAACCAAGGTGAATCAAGTGGAACCACACTTCTGAAATGTTGTCCTTCCTTCGCGTCACGGAAATCAGGACCCTGGTCCTGTTATATGAAGGAAGTCAAACATGATAAACACATGCAATACAAGTAAATGAGCATAACTAGACCCACAAACACTCCTTTCCGTTTCCCAGTTTTCGGTTTTTATATCTTGAAAGGGCAGGGAGGTGTCATTTTTACATGGAGATTTAAGTGAAGTATAACCATATCAGGCTACTTAGGGAGTCAATTGCGCCCCCTAATAATCCTTTCAGCCTCAGTTTAGAAGATTTAAAGATGAAGGTCTCTATTCTACAACAAATACCAAATATGCATAGAACAGCAGAATCTGTTAATAGAGTTATCAAACTAAAAAGAAAAAATAATTACAGTGTCAATCAACATCTGATCGAATTTGTTGCAATCACTATTTACTACTAACTTCAGTTACAGCTTAACCCTAACAACAAAACTCAACTCCTCAAAGATTGCTCAAAAAGATCTTTTGCTCCTCGAGATATATATATATATATATAGGCGGGTTCAAATGAAAAGACGGTTAAATGCGAGAGGGTCCAAATCACATGATTCTAGAGTAAAATCACGTGTGATACGAACAGGGGTGTTGACCAGCCATTGCACGGGCGAGTTGTCACGCGACCTTGGTTGTGTTAACTAGTTGCCCTTGTCCTTTTGGACCTGTTGTATCACATGTGATTTTACTATAGAAGCACATCCGATTTGGCACTTTTAGCAAGTTGATCGACGTCTGCATGATCCTCCTCTATATAGATATATGTACCCTACTACATGAAAAGAAAACTTGGAACTAAAACCTTAGAAGCTACTCATTATGCTAACCCAAACTTGCTAATATGCTGTGGAAGTAGCAAAAACATCTAATGATTATATCATCACTTACTCTTTTTGATTGGGATCTTAAATAGTCTACACGAATCAAACTTCCACCTCTTTTTTTTCCATTCATCATTTTAAGAGCCTTCGATGCATCCTCTAGTCTGGAATAATCAATGTATGCAGTATTCTTATCCCTTAGAAATTTGAAATCCTCAATTGTACCAAATTTGGAAAATTCTGCTTCCAAATCTTCTTTGGATGTGGTAATGCTGATGCCGCTTACCCACAGACTCTTGCAGGGTTTAGCCTGCCAATAAAATAAGGAGTAGGCTCAGAACCAATAGCACACAAAAAGGTGAAGCCTAAATAGCTGTAAAAACTACATTGCATCTTATTCATTGATCAAGCAAGCATCAAAACAATACTATATGGATGAGAACTGAATGAGAACATAACAGGTACAAATAAAGCCAAACATGATCTGATGACTAGAATCAAACCTGGGAAAATGGCAATACGCAACTCAAAATTTCATAGAACGACAGATAATCTAGGAGGAAGGTACACAGCTAAACAAATATTATACTTATGTCATAATTCATGCATGGGGTTGGCCAGTCTATCTACCAAAAACTGCTGTTAAATGCATAAAGTCAGGCCACACTTATACAATAGTGATAGAACAATTAAATTAGTTTCTCACCATACTTTTCGTTTCTCTCCCTCCCTCTCCCCCCCCCCCCAAAAAGACATATATGTACACTATATTATAAAACATTTAAGTAAAAGTCTGAAAAACTTGTTAAGAATTAGATACTGCTTAGTAATGCATAATCCCTTAGATTTCAAGTTTACAAGTAATTACTGTATACGAACAATTCATAAAGATTTTTGAACTCCATAAAACTAAATGATAAATACGTTTAAATACAGGATAAGCAATGAGCTAACTAATACGACAAAATATGCCATCATTATCTTTATCCAAGCAATACATTCCATATTCAAACTAAAAACAAATTACATTTTTATTTATAAATCTAAAATATTTAAATTATAATAAAAATTTAAATCAAACAAATTATACCAAAAACAAGAAAAATTTTGTAACCCTTAACTTGACTCCGATATTGATATTCTTTTAGGTAATTTTACCAGTTTTTCAAATTAGCAAGACATGTAGTCACCATTTGTAATTTCTATTTTATTTAAACATATATTTAAAAAAAAAATTGAAAATTTGACTTAATTTTCCATTGTTTACAATACATCTTGCATCCCACTGCATTGCATGGGTACACAACTAGTATCTATATGTGTGTGTGTGTGAGGTGTATAGATGAGGGATTTCAGAAAGTACTGAGGGCACGCCCAACAGTAACACACTGATGGACAAAAATGTTAGAAGATAATATGAGCTCACAAATAAATCCATATCCAGCTTCACCTTTTATAGTCAAACATAAGATTCGGTGAGATTCATGAAGTCACTAACCAACTATGAAGCATAGATTCATATGTGCATTTATGGGTGCGGCTGGGATGCAGCCAGCATTACTTTCTTTCCTGTAGATGGTTTGGCTTGATTTTGTTGTATAAGGCCTTGTTCCAAGGTGTCTAATACTTCCAGGACCAAAAAGAAACAGCACCTCTAAACCAATTGGATCAAGTTTTCTTTTCTATCTCTCCACTCATTTTGTCTTTATTTTGTTACAGATATGTACTTGTATCCCTCTGCTTATTTATGTTGTATGCATGACTTGCTTATTGTTTTTGTTAAATTTTTCTCCATCTTTCTAGGATTCTTGTTTTCATGTTTTTGTGGTCATAGGATATGGCATTCTAATAGTTTGACCAAGAGGTACTTTGATGGATTATTTTGATGTAGGACTAAATACTTTTGTGATGTTTATTGGTTAAGTTGTTTTTCTATACAAGTATATGTGATGCACCCACATTTTCAATGCCAAACTCATGCACCCTACATGCAGTATACCTGTTCCCATGATTCCTAGTTCACCAGAAAGAAATTGCACAAATGGAAGAAGAATGGACTAATATAGGTCAACTATCTTTCAAGGTCCATGGGAGCGCAGAAAAAAGAAAGAAAATAAGAACATGTCATTCCTAGTTTTTACTTGAACTCAAATAGTTGAAAAATCGATATGTGATACTGAATGAATAAGAAATCAGAATGAGGAGATCCTTCGAAAAATATTTAGTGTGCATATCGGTCAACTCTCCAGCTGGATTTGAACCAGCATAAACATATTGTCAACAAATTTACAGTCCATGGATCTACAGGGTCCCAAATGAATTGGCTTATTCGAAAAAGATAGAGATTTATAGAAAAATGTTCCATTCATACAAAAAAAAGCCGGGGTCTTGCTAAGATTTTTTCTCAGGATTCATCATGAAGAAATCAGAATGCAACTTAACCATAATATTCCCTCGTCCTCTTGAAATTGCAAAAAATGATTCTACAAGCAAATTGATGGATTTCTGGCTTCTATAATAACAAAATAGGACAAATATTCAAACTAACTCATGGTTTCCAATTAAAATAAACCTCGTTGAACCATATTGCCAACATGTTTTAAACCTCCAAAGATTATTATCATCAATCAAGGGAAGAACAAGAACAGAGTAAATGGTGGAAAAACATGCAAAATTACAAAACCCCTAGGAAATTCTAGAATATGACATACGTATTTACATGTTTATCCTATATCTAACACTCCTATTGAAGTTTGAGCATATATGTCAAAACACCCATCCATCTACCTATGGAGTTATTATTTTTCAGATGAAGGATCTTTGCCAAATTTTTAGCTACATATTATTTAAGGTAGCGTTTGGTACGAGGGACTGGACATAACAAACAAAAACTTGTAGTCTCACATTTGGTGCGGCATTAAACTGGGACAAGATGGGTGCTCTTTTGTCCCACCAAAATAGATGGAACAAAAATCAGGGTGGGACAAGATTGGCAAATTCTTAAACTACCCATGTCCGATTAAAACTCTAAAATCTTCCACCCTCCTGCCACACTCATGCCTGTTCTGCTATTTAAACCTGTTCAAACCTGTCCAGTCCCGTCAGTGTATAAGCACGCCTAAGAATGCATCCGTTCACCAAGTCAAATAAGAAAAGATTTGCAAGAAGTATATAACACTTCCTCACGAACAAAGTGGCAGGTCACCTGAATACGCTTAGCATATGTGCCTTTTTCCATACATAGAAACTCTAAAACTCCTATGTCAAACAACACCCATGTCAGCTAACAAGCAGCATTTGTCATCTAAGTACTCAAGCTCTGCACCAGTTAGGCGACACAATGTATTTTTTTTGATTTTCTAAGCATACAAGATTCTCTCCAAACACTACTACATGTACCCAGTTGTGGAATTCACGTTTAAATAACCTGTAATATGAGTGCATAATTTGTATATTAAATGCCTCACCCTGAGCATCTTTATGATACCATGAGATCTGTAGCCTGCATCCTTGTGACTAGTGTAAAAAAATCTATGAACAGGCTCATGACACTCATTGAGAAGACAATATAAGACCTAGTGATCATGAAATAATCTTATTTTCCTGAATATTCTCTTGTATCCCCATGTACCATCAAGAAGCTCATTGTAACACAAGACAATGTTTGCCATCTAGACCTGCTCTACCATGTATACTTGATAACTGCTAATATTTATGTGTCAAATCATAGGTATTTCACTGGTTAATATATTAAGATCACACTATCATGCATACCAATCTTGACCATGATATCAAAGGCATGCTACCTCAACTAGGAAAGATGCCCTTGAAAGATCTAGCCAGCTAAACACTTAAGAAGTTAGTTGCACTACAACAAAATTCGGGTCTATAGGATGCCAAAAATTCCAAGTGTCATAATAGACTACTTTATAGACTCCAATTTATAGGACTGAACAATTGTGTCCCCTATGTAAAAGTGTTACAACAAGTTTACGGGACATTTTTAGACATTTTAACAAGTTTTTTAAGACACTTTGAAATAAAATGACATGTTAACTTTTTTATAATTTATAAGACTTTTGAGAAGTGTCCTATGAACACATCTTTTTCTAGGACACTTATTTTTATAACACATGTTTTCAAGTAATGCCATATAAAAATTTAACAGGACGCTTTATTTCAAAATTGTCCTAAAAAACATGTTATGAGCCTAAATCGTCCTATAAACTTATTGTAAAAATATAGATAGGACGCACAAGTGTTTGGTCCTATAAAACAGTCTATTAGGACATTTAGACATTTTTGATGTCCTATAAACCCGATATTGTTGTAGTATTGAGGCTAGGTCATAGTTGGTGAAACTCTCTTCCAATGTAGAACTTAGAAGTTGCAACCCTCTAAAATCACAGAAAGCACAAAATTATCCACGTCCAAGAACGGCATAACCAATTTCATCCCAAATTTGTCCATAACCTTGAGATGTCTTGGAGTTTGGATCCAACCTCCATAACAACTGAGAGATCTCTTCCTTATATCATGCTAATGCAGAGGATCAAACTAAGCAATTTGACATCATTTAAAAGCTAGGACACATAGATCCTCTAAATCTGTCATCATAAGTAAAAAACAAGCCTCTATATTGCTACCATATACAACCAAGTGAGAGATTGATGCTGTTGAGTTCCAAGCATAAACCAACTTGTATCCAATGTAGTTAACAAAGATATCAAGTTTCATTCTGTTAAACAATATACATTTTTAAGCACGATCTGTCTTAATCCAAAAAGAAGTCACAAAATATGAAACACTACAAGGAATGTGGTAACTATCCATAGATACAATGATTGCACAATGACTAGAAGTTAGATACCATCAGAAACATGAGGAAAATGTGGGACCATCAATAGCCATACCAATGCAATCACCCTTCCAAAGGCTTTGCAATAGGAATATTGAAGCATATGAGAGTATGAAACATCAACAACGGTTTTGGTCAGTATTAGTGTCTCGTCCTTATGTTGTATAGATGCAGTAGGTGGAGTCATACGATCATGGGCCCTCAATGTTGGAGGACACAAACACCAAGACTATGAGACTCGAATCAAACTGAACATGACGCAAGAGACCTACTTCCAAGAAAGTAATATCAAGACATGCCGGGATGGAAGGGAAAAAAAGTCTTCTAGGTGCAGACGTGCACACATAGCCTAAGGCTAAGAGTACAACACTAATACACTTCTTGAGACCTAGAGTATCCAACAAAGGTACAATTGTTTCCCCTATGAAATATGTCGTGTGCAAAACAACTAA